AAAGAGATTCATCAAGTCACAGTAGCTAAAGCTATGCTAGAAAGAAAAAATGAACAAGCATATGTTACCAGCAGTGTTTCTCATATTTGATGAGTAAAACCATATTCTATTTTGTTGCAATTGTCTTTCCTTGTACAAATAAAGGCCCTGATCCAATAAACATTTAGGAGTGTGATTTTGATTTACACTATTTAATCTACTTCTGTCTTTAAGACACCTTTGCATTTATTTGACAGGTCCTGGAGGAGATGGGAGACTGGTCTTTAAGCATTTACTTAACTTTTGGCTCATCAGGAGTCCACAGAGTTCCCATGTCTAGAGCTCAGCACGTGCAGCAGCATTGCAGAACAAGAGCCAAAAGTAGGAAAAAAGCCTGAATTAAAAAAAAAAAGTTTGGGTTTTTTTTTCCCCTCCCAGTGAGTGAATCATTTAATGTTGGTCTGTGGCTCTGACTGCATCTCTGGCACTGTTCCCACAGCTGCTACAGCCCCTGTTCCACTTGGGAGAGTTTTCAGGAAATTGTGTTGTCATGGATCCTTCTGCTCAGCTCCAATCTGCTCCATGCCCAAAATCCCCTGTGAAGCAGAGTAAGAAATCCCCAGCAGGCCCAAGCTGCATGAGGCACAAAAGGCTATAACTTCTGTGCAACATCCCCCAGTGCTTCCCTATTCATTCCACTGGATCATCTTAAATAAGGTTTAAAAAAAGAGTGGAAGCAAATCCAACAGTTGAGGCATAAGAAGGTGGGGACTGTGCTCTTCTAAATTGGTCTTTCTAAATGTCCCTTAGATCTTAGTCATAATCCAGACTGTCTAGACTTACCAAGTTAGAAACAGGCATGTTTTCCTTCAAGGCTGAGCGATTTAATTCAGTCAGGGTTGGGATTTTTTTCCCCGATTGTTTATTTTACTAAACTAGAGCTGTTTTGAGGATGGCAGGCACCCATCAGAAAGAAACAAGGCTAAAGTTAACAACAAAGAGACGTGCTGATCAGTAGTGCTGTGACTAGGATCATCACTGCAGCTGCTCCCTTCCTATGTGCATTGGCCACCTTTGTGTGGTTCAGGTTCCACCTATGGAAAGGATAAATGAACAGGCAGGAAAAGGGAATCGGCTCCAGGGATGGGGTTGTCAGTGGGCTGCTCCAGTCTGGAGGTAGTGTGAAATACCTTATTCTGCATGGAGAGTCAAAAAATTATCTTAGCCATAGGTAGAAAAACCCTGTTTCAGAGAGTTCCCGGCAATGACTATGAAAGGGTCAGTTTGCTGGCCTAAGGGATTTGAATAATGTGAATTTTCTGGATTATTTTAACAACACAGAGAAAACAATGAGCATTCAATGTTTTTCACTTAGTTTCTATCAGAGGGTTTTTGGAAATACATCCAAACAAGATAAGATCTGAATCAATATCAAGTAGATGCAACAGTAGATAGATAGGAGCAACTACTAAACTGCCTGCAGCGACATTTAATGCTTTTGAGATGGTTGTTCATTGCTTATAGCTGATAGATATGCTTTGGAGATGAATATGCGTTTGCCAGAGATCCTGCAGTTTAGGCACCCTGGGGTTGTCCCTCGGCTTGGCCGTTGGCTGGTGGCAACCTTCTCATCCACACTGATGCCCTGTCAGCTTGCTGGCTGGTGAGCGTGGTGGAAGGAGCCATCTTGCTACCCTTGCCCTGGTGCAGGAGTGCTAGGCACTGCAAGGACTGTCCAGTGTCCCAGCTCCAAGCCTCTCGCTATGGAAGGGAACTGTAAAACCTGGTGTTTGCCAGTTGTCCTGAAACCATGCTTAATACCTGATGAAATGTGAAGAATATAAAGAATTTTTCTCAGCCAATACTAATGCGGTTACTAGGTCTGAAGACAAGCATAGCGAAATAAATAAAAACCTGCTTATAGCTACCTGAGCTTCAGCTCTGCTCTAGGGCTTTCCATCAGCTGTGTAAGCGGGAATAAGCTGTTAGGGTGCTTGTATGATTTTGTGGCCGGGAGCCAGGGCTTACGACCAGGCTACTCTTTTTCTCTGAGGCTCCTGATGTGGGGCTGTGTTTTTCCAGACCTTTAACTCCATTCTATTCAGGTTTAAATTTTATCCTGCGAAAGAGTCAGAAAAAGGATCAGAACTACTGACCCTGCCGTGACAAACTTTTTATTTTATCAGCTGTTTTTACCACTTTGGTGTGGCAAGACCTCTCTTCTGTCCAGACAGTAAAGAGGGGTTGTACGTGATTATCAGCTACGTCACTAGAAACAAATTCTGAGGACAGTATTTTCTTCTGCCTGACAGGACAAGGTTTGACTCTCTGCGTAATTCTTTAGATACTGAACCTGGAATTTGAATAAATAAATCATTTGAATCATGCTTTGCAGTTTTCACTGTATGCTTACACACACATCCTTCAGTTTTACCTTTTGCTCAAGACTAGACATGATAGTAATCCAAATATTTTGGCATGAAAATGGGTTTGAGAAAAACTCTAAGAGTTGTGAAGTTTAATTTTTTTTTTTATTTTTGTATCAGTTTTCCATTGAATATTTGAAGTGTTTGGGTTTTTTACCCAACCCATTTAAGTGTATATTTAAGTAAACCAGTAGATTTACATGTATTAAAAGATCTGTTTTAAATTTTCCCTTCGGTGAGAGAAAGAGAGAAACCATTCCATGCAGCAGATGTGTAACAGATGCTACTGCTAGCACGTACTGCACTACTGGACGATGGCCAGATGCAGTGGTGATAGCATAGCTATTACCGTGATAGAGCAGAATAAAACCGAGATATGTAAGTAATGTGTTAGCTTCCCCACCCACTGCCTTGTCCACACAAATGGGAAGGAGGAGAAAATTCTTAAGTCTGTCAGCTATCTGCATCGTCATATACAGTCCCCACAATGACCCACTTTAAAAAATAGCAGAATAATAGTGCATGTTTGAATACGTTGAATACTGTGAAGTCCGTCCCATCTAGGCCACACCAGGGCTCAGAAAATCTGAAATGCAGTTCACAACACCCACCTTCTTGCCGTCTCCATATCCCAGGATAAATTTGCCAAGAATGCACAGCTCCAGAAGCCAAGTGAAATCACTATGGAAGAAAGAGTAATTAATTTCACTTAACCTTAGCCATCAAGAAGCAAACATCCAGGCGAAGGCATTCATCTGGACTCTTTTCATAGTTAACAAAAATAAAGGCACCTCTAGAAGGCGTTCATCCTACTCAGCTTAGTTTGAACTCAGTGAGATGAATCCCACCCATAGTGTTTGGGGTCATCTAGTGAATTGGTGTTAAAGCCCAGACATACATCTCATCTCTTGACTTCAAATGTTGAGTTTTGCCATTTGACCCCTCATCAGCTCCTTTGAAAAGTTAATCTGATAAAACAGATACTCTTCTAACAGTAGAGAAGATCCTTCCTGTCTGAAAAACACATTTTCATTTTAGAAGGTAGGAAGATATTTTTGAGACAAATCACCAACTAGAGGTTGGGGAAAAAACCTTCTGGTGGTAGCTGTCCCTTCTGGGCACACCCTGCGTTGGAAAACACAGGAAATGAACAGTTACTGTAACTGAGTTGTGCAGGGTATAAATAGCCCTTGTGCTCTGTACAAATTTGCCTTTCTTTACTAACCACAACACAAATCTCACCTGCAACTCTGAGATGTCTTAAAAAAAGAAGAGGCAATGTCCTTTAAACATTAATCATTTCCATGTGTAGGAAATGTGACTGTTTTGCGCGTGATTGCATTTTAAAACAGAAATCGTTGCACAGAATACAGAATAGATTCAGTATGAACCTTCTAAACTAAATGAACCTTAATTTCTTTTCTATTTTTAAAAGGTCAAATGCTGCAAATACTGGCCAGATGACACAGAGATATATAAAGACATTAAAGTTACCCTAATAGAAACAGAGCTCCTGGCTGAATATGTGATTCGAACATTTGCAGTAGAAAAGGTAAGTTTCCAAATCCAGTTTTCTTAAATACAGTGGTATCTGCCTAAGTAACTTATATACAGATTCAACATGGGAAAGTTAAATCTTTTGACTGACATCCCGGTTTTGTAGCTGTTTTGTAGCTATTTTTTGGGTAAAGGACTACCGCCCTCTTATGGTAAACTGTGTTTTCCTTTAAATGCAGCAACTTTTCTGCGCTTTCCATCACTGTTGGCCCCTGCCTGAGTTAGAAAAAGTGATGTTCCTTGCCTCGGAGAAATCGAAGCCTCCCTCCCAGCGATCAATTGAAAAACACATTCGTGCTGTTTTCCCATCTTATGTTCCCCACAATAATTTTCTGTCTGTACCAGAGGCTGCATGCACCATTATTCAGAAGTCCATGGTGGAGAATACTGTTATCTGTTGGGCCGGCGTGTTCCTGCTCTGCAGAGACGTAGTTGAAACAAACTAATTTTCTTGTCAAGGCAATTTCACTTTTCATGTGGAATCTGTCTTTATAGGGAGAGTTCCAATCAGCGTGTTGTATTACTGTTACTAGAATAATGCCATGAATTTGTTTGATGCTTACTAGATCTTTTAGCTCTCCCAAACAGCTTACAATGTATGGACAACATACAATTAACAAATAAGGTACTTACTGAAAGTGAGAACAAGCAGGGTCAGTCAATGCTGAAGTTGTGTCATGCATTTTGTGTCAATTCAGGGGTTTTATTCATTAAAGAACAGAAGTGTTCTAATTGTATGTATCAAGACTCATTTGAGTTGCAGAACAACGAGGAAAGGGCCTGTTTGTAAGACTTGACATTCCTAATGGCGCACTGAAGTATGTTCTCCGCTATTTCCATGAGTAGATTTTCAACTAATTAGCTTAGAAAACTCCTTTTGATTTAGTTGCAGTACCTGTGATACAGAGGTTCTCTCTAATGATGAAATAGTATTCAATTATGGTTTTGAAGAACATAATCTGTAGCATCGGAGAATCCTGCACCCAGGTAGATGAAACTGCCAAAAAGATGGCCCAACAGGGTCTCTGCACATACATCCACAGTAACAAAGGAATTAGTTTCTTTCCTGGTTTATTCTTCAATCTAATACTTAAATATGCATCAATACAGCAACCTGAAGGTAATGATAACAGAATTATGCAGTTTGAATGAACTGAAATATTGTATCGTGTTTACGACTATACATATTGTACATTGAATTCGTTCAAGCCTGTTGTTTCCTTGCATTTAGGTATTTTTAATAAACAGATGAGAAACGGTGGCTACACTTTGAAGTAGATGAAGCACTGGTTGGCTTCTATTCTGCAAATTTTAAGCCCATGCTTTGATGTTAGCTTTTCACTTCTTAACTGGGACTGGAAAAAAAGACCTAGAGGATTTTACAGTTGATCATAACCAAACTGTCTTGAATAAGTGCATTAGAACAGATAGAGATAAAAGGCACTAAACATTTTATTTCTTAAAAAAAAACCTCCATCTGAAAAGATTTCATTTAGACACTGCTTTTTAATAGTTGGTAGTTTTTCAGTAAGCCTCTAAAAGCAATGTCAGTGTAGTTTGAGTAAAGTACATTTGTTTCTACCCTATTTTCTGTATTTTTTAACTCTTCCAATGGTACTGGAAGGTCAAGTCTGTACATCTCTTTCACCATAATTCTCTCAAGTTTATATTTCTGATCTGCTGGGACTGATACTTTTCAGCCTCTCCAAGACAAGCTGCATGATGAGACAGACTGCACCCTAACCAAATCTGCAGATAATACTAAGTGAAGGGTGGTGTTGAAACGCTGAACATTGGAGCCACAGTTCCAAAGGAATTGAAGATTTGGCCGACAGAAACTTTAGTAATTCAACAAGGAAAAATGCAACGTCCTGCACCTTAGGTGGACTAACCCCATGTGTCTGTACAGGCTGTGACATCCTGGGACCACAGCTGACATCCAAGATGATTATGGATGTAGGACATATGAGCTGCAAGGGAGGTTAAGAGAGCTGGCCTTGTTCGGTGTGGTAGAGATGAGGAGCAGGGGTAAGGAGGATCTAGCTGCAGTCTGCAACTACCTCAAAGATGTTTAGAAAATCAGGGGCGCCAAATTCTCCTCATTCTTCTCCATGGTAACGGATGGTAAAACAGGGGGCAATGGCCAAGAAGTTGCAGCATGGAAGGCTTGCACTGGAAAAGCTCCTTCAGGAGGAGGGTAGTGCAGCGCTAAAGCAGGTTACCCAGAAGTTGTGGAATCTCCATTCTTGGAGGTCATCAGGGCTCAGCTGGACAGAGCCGCTGGTGACCTGATCTAGTGTTGGCCTTAGACCCTCTCTGATTGGGAGGTTGGACTGGAGACCTCCAGAGGTCCCTTCTGACCATTTTTCTATTTGTGGATGAACATCTCATACATGCTCCTAAAATACAATTTAGAAGTTGATTTGTTTGGAGATAAATTGATCGCTTATTTTTATTTTTCTAAAATGGCTATTTGGTAATTATTGAGGAGTAGGGGGATAATGCTAAGAAAATTGAACACAAAATTACACTCTGATTCTGAAGACCACTTCCTAGATACGCTTTACATTGTGTGCATAAGCAGTTCCTTTGGAGCAGTTCCTTTACAGCACAACAGTTAACTCAGATGAATTACTCAGATAATAACATACAGCAGCACCATAAGTATTTGTAGGATTAGGGTCTACATTTTGTTACATCCTAGGGTTTGTTAGCAATGTACACCATTTTCTGTTTGTTTCAGCTGAAAGAAAAACTAAAAAATACAGCCTTTCCAAGCTGAGCATATGCTTTTATGATTCATGCAGTTGTGTTGCTATTTTGGGTTTAGAAACCAGCAGGGAAGCTACAGACATGAAAATCATTCTTTTGTAGGTATAATAAGCAAACTCATTATAAAAGTACCCTATATGCAAAATCTTTTCTAAGTCGCTGAGCATTACCAATGATAGACAAAAATGCAGTCAGCATGACAAACAGCATTTTCAAAACTAATGCACAAGATACACAGGACATATCCTGATCTGTGCAAGAGCTGGGCACATTATTTTGGAGGGGCAGTTTACTTTTTGTAAATTGCTTGAAAATCAAGGCTGCGTACAGCATGAAGAATTTGTGTGGGGTACTTGTTTCAGTCCTCAGTTTGTGTAGTCATGGTATTGCTTTTTGTATGGGATCTTTGTTTTTTGGGGGATTGTGGGCAGTTGTTAGGAGCACTATAAAAGTGTTTGGGACATGGATACCCCACCTACGCACAGCTATTTATGGAGTTGGAGGCCTTGCTTGCAGTAGCAAAAAGATGTGTTAACTAACACACTCTAAAATCCCCAGAGTACAGAGACCAAATTGTATTTCAATGTGTTTGCTAGACTGTCTTAAAATGCAAATTACTTTGTCTATTCCTGGGTTTTAATATGTTTTAAAATCGGTTTTTAGGATATAAGGTCATTTCTGTTGCAAGGGTGTGATCTCCTCAGACTACACCAGTGTCACATATGCTCTTCATCTTCTCCCTTGCCTGCCTTCTTGTGTCGCAGTTTCCGAGGGAGATGAGTGTGGATATTCCTCTGAGCAGGTGCCTGGTCTCCACAGACCCCCAGCCTGAGCTGTCAGAGCATCAGCGTGTATCCGAGATACACCAAGACCACTCCAGTCACGTAGCACTGGCACAGCCAAAATTTCTCAGTCACTGAAAATCACAGACTATTTTAGCTTGCATACTAGCAATAAATTAGGAAGTTTATATTACTTCATTATGCAAAAAGAATTAGACCTTTTATATGCAAACCAGCTCAAGACAGGAAATACATCTTTAAGAAGAAAAACTGTAAACCACCAGTTATTAATATCACTGACATTTAGTCCAGCCTAGACATGATATGTCATAATTTTGCTGTTTGCTTATGAAATATGTATGATGGCCTCTGGTCTGTGGATTTCTAATGAGAAATACTTGCAGCTACATTTTTAGAGGGGGAAGGGGAAATACAAGCACTAAGAAAATCAAACTTAGCATACACACCTCTAATATCCAGACTGCTCCAGAAAGTCACATGGGCAATTACTTATACAATCGGCTTCTCATTCATACCTGTCTTGCCATATCCACATGCTTGTAGACTGTGGCAAATCACTTGAAGGGTGAGCATGTGGAGGGCTACAAATGCAGCCCCTATGATTGGAGGTGCAGAAAGGTTTCTTACTATTCAGCCGTTTCTTTCAGACCAATGAAGGAGACAAATGATAAGGAAAATTATGCTGAAATTGTAGTTCCCTGAAATCAGCAGCAAAACTCCTGTGGAGAGCAGTGGGAAAAAAATGTCATCTGTGCTATATGTTCACAGCCTTGCTGCTGACCTGTTCTGTGATCATGGCATACATCTTTCAAAGCAACCTAGTGCTTAAATATAGAGATGAGCGTCTATCTTGTTGCTAAAAGTTTCTAACCAATCTAGTGCTCAGTTACTCAGTTTTGTTGTAAGGCTTTGAAACCAGTTGATATGTAACCTTTGAACTTGCTCTCCTGCTATGAAAAAGCTCTCCAACAGTCTGTACAGATACGGGTATTGGTAGGGGGTGGATGTTTTTCGGCAAGGCTCAGGCTTTTGAAGTTACATTCCTACGATGTCTCTCATCCAATTTCTTTCACATTCCAGCTTGTTTTTCTTTTTCAACCCTTATCTTTTCAATAGAGAGGTGCTCATGAGATTCGAGAAATTCGGCAGTTTCACTTCACTGGCTGGCCAGACCACGGTGTACCGTACCATGCAACAGGCCTGCTGGGATTTGTACGACAGGTCAAATCCAAGAGCCCACCAAATGCTGGACCTCTGGTTGTTCACTGCAGGTGGGTAGAACAGAAATCCCTCTGTTGCGTTGTCCACTAAACTCAGAACCTACTTTTGCTTCTCCTGTACTGCATCATCCCCACACAGGTTGCTGAAGCCACTGGAGCTCTACCCACAAAAACTTTATCTAAAATATCAACAAGAATGGCAAAACTGAGTCTGAAGTTCTGCAAATGCCTGAATGCAAGACTTAATTTCAGTAATCATCCCCACTGATCAAGCACCTGCAAGATGAACCCTTGCACTTTACATTTTCCAATACACTGCTGAACATTAACTGTGCTCTTCTTTTACTTTAGTGCTGGTGCTGGCAGAACTGGGTGCTTCATTGTTATTGACATCATGCTAGATATGGCAGAAAGAGAAGGCGTTGTAGACATATACAATTGCGTGAGAGAGCTTCGATCTCGGAGAGTTAACATGGTGCAGACTGAGGTATTGTTAATCTACTGGAATAGTGCCTTACACTTTGCAAGAAAAAGTATTCTTCTAGCCCATAAAAGTAGAGCCCCTTCGTGGTAGGCACCATCCAGAAGGTAGTTTATTTAGTCATATGCAGAAAATAATCCACACACAAACTTGAAGAACCGCTGCCCAAACAAGTGCCCAGTTATGCCTCACTTAAAGTTTGCAATGGTTTTCTAAAAAAAGAAGAAAATCGTGTTTCCTCTCCAGGGAGGATTCATTCTGGGGTACATCTTGTTGAGGCTGTTATGTGATAGCACCTACAGAACTGTGAGGAGGAATGAAGAAACCAGAAACATTCCAAGTTTTATTATGGAGTGTTACTGCACTTCTCTTTGTACTTGTAACTAGTTCGAGTCAATCCTATATTAACTTCTAAATGAGTGGGATAAAGTTTTGTGAACTGCTGTTGTTTTGTGAACTGGTCTTGCTTCAGAGACAGTAAAGTCAGAGAGAATTAGTGGCAACCATATTAGTTGTTATTTTTTATTTACCAAAATACTAGGAGCGTATGCTCTCTCTGTCAGTAATTATTTTAATTGCTTTACCAGGAACAGTATGTATTCATCCATGATGCTATCCTGGAAGCCTGTCTTTGTGGGGACACATCTATTCCAGCTTCTCAAGTTAGGTCTGTTTACTATGAAATGAATAAACTGGATCCTCAGACTAACTCCAGCCAGATCAAAGAGGAATTTAGGGTAAGTTGTGGCTAGCAGTACCTAGAAGTTATACAGTTCAGCTATGCTAAAGACTTCTCCTTAAGTGCTTGCTTATTTAGGTATTAAAGAAGTCAGTGAATTTTGGACCAGGCCTGGGAGGGAAAGACTGCAAAAAAAGGGAAAATAATATGTCACTAATTGCTATTGAATTATGCTAAATCATAAAAGAATGCAATAGGGTAGCAGTAAAATCTTCTTTTTACTCAAGGGAAGTATATCGATTCCTTCCACTGTCCTTTCTCCAGAAGGCAGGTTACTCTGCAGCTATCTTTGAGGTTATTTTTCAGATCTGTACGCTTCCAGGATTTTTTGCTTCCAAACCCTGCTGACTGTGATGTGTTTTCATTTGTCTGCATATTGATTCCCACTGAAACTGAATGCTGAGCTGATCTATTCTTAAATATTTTGGGATGCTTTCACTGCTGTGTTAATTTTTCTGTTGTATTGTTTACTCTTTTTGAAAGACTTTAAATATGGTGACTCCGACACTGCGTGTAGAAGACTGCAGCATAGCACTTTTACCACGAAATCATGAAAAGAATCGCTGTATGGATGTTCTGCCTCCAGACAGATGCCTGCCTTTCCTCATAACGATAGATGGAGAGAGCAGTAACTACATTAATGCTGCACTGATGGATGTAAGTCTCCACTACATCATTAATAATAAAAAGGGAATAAGCAGCCCTCCAAACTGAGCAATGCTGGAAAGTGGAGTCAGCATAAGAAGACTTCTAGCTTGTTTTCCAAAAACATGGCACAAAATCTTTAAACTCCCAAGTACATTTAGGATCCCACATACGTTATGTCACAGGCAAGGTTCCAAAGCCATGCTCAGAGAGCAAGTCAGGGAGTTTTGGTAAATTAAATGTGTCTGGATTTCTCCCTAGTGCTTGAATTTTTAACCATCTGGCCTGGGAAAAAAAGAGTTACCTATTAAGACACGAAGGCAGTTAAATAGGATAATAAGGTTTGCAGCAATATTTCAGTTCCCTTTGTTTCTAATTTAAACAGTAATTAACAAAAAAAAAAATCGTCTGTCAGCACAAGATAGTACACAAGCCATTACTTCAGTCTCTCCATTTATTTCTGTTTGAATGAATGGTTCCTCTTCATGTGTGTGTGGATTTTTTTTTCTAATGCATCTATGGTAATTCTAATCCCGCTAATAGAATATCAGTAAAAAGACACTTAAACTGCCTTTGCAGTCTGTAGATATTTATAGCCTATCTTTGACAATTTAGAGCTATAGTAATTACGGTTGTCAAACACATAAACAACAAGAAAACAGAGGTTAGCAAAGAATGAACACATTATAAATGGTCTTTTTGAAAAGTGAAGCTAGAGTAATAACAGTTTATAGCAGTTTTTGCATTTCTCTCCTTTCAAGTTCTCAGAGCATTTTCCTAAAATAAGCCTAAGTTCAAAACACTCCTGTGAAAAGGTAAATGTATTATCTTTATGTTTATCTATGTAGAGAAACTGAGAACAAAAGTTTAAGTGACTTCTCTAGGTTCTCACAGTAGGTCAACAACATTTCATATTGGAATGGAGCTTCCTTGATCTGTAATTTACAATCTTGCCATTACATTGTCTTCTTTGCCGGAGAGTTCAGTACTGTTTTGTTCTGTAAATTAAGTACTGCTCAGAAAGAGCAGTGCCTCAATATTTGCTTTGAAAATGCTTCCCTTCTTCACTGTTGATACAATGGGCTGGATCCAAAAGTGTGCCTGGGCAAAAGGCTCCAAGGGAGGAGGTGATTTCGGTCACTTTCCACCCAAACACCCTTGCCAGGCTCCTGCAATATCCCTGCACTGACAGACAAGAGCAGACATTTGTACCTCTCTCTAAACTCTTGGTCTCCAGCAGGCAATATGATGCATTTCACCCTCTCCACTTGCATCTGTTGAGATGCAGCTGGATCACTTCATGTAAACCTTTAAAGCTCACTTCAAGCAAAAGGGATAGCAAGCATAATTTTCATTATTCAGTAGCAAATGAGTTTGAGAACGATTTTCCCAAAAAAACTGCTGGGGCTTCTAAGTGAAGGAGTAATGGAGAGCCCTTCGAGCATCTCTCATCTGCATGCAACTTCCAGCAAGACAGGACCAGCAGGATGGAAGGCAGCTCACTGATGTACCAGCAGCATCGATACCTGCTGGTTGCAGTTTTCTGAAACCAAAACAAAGCACTGAAGTCTTGCATGTCTTCATCTGTACCCCAAAATACATTGGATTCATTTTCTGTGGTCTCTTCAGTGACTGTCTCTGAACGAAAGATGCAAATAGCTGATCAGATTGTATCTCTGTTGCAGTACAAATACTTCAGTTCAAAGCATGTAGAGGCTTCCCTGCCCTCCTTAATGAAGGTTATGGCAACCCCTCCCAAGAATTGCCCCAATATGGCCACATTGGCCTTCAACACTCAGGAGGACATAACTGAAAATTACACAATTGAACAGTTCCACCACAGCTCAGTCAACGACATACTCTGGTACTAAAAAAAAACCAAAGGGCACTGAAATTTATCCCCTGGGTATCCTCACTGCTGTCAGATAGACCAGAATTTCAACAATATTTCTGAAAAATAACTAGATATTTCCTTTCACAGGCATCATTCAAATTAAAAGCTAGGCAGACAGCCAAGATTAATCTGTCCATTAACAGCTCAAACCAAAACTGTTGCTCAAAATTTTGTAGAAGTTGCATTGGAGGCAAAAACCTCTGATAATTTTACTCTATGCCTGTGGCATAAAATAAGTTTCAGAAGTATAACATCTGCAGAAGTTATATTCTGACCAAATGCAGTTTATTAACTTTGAAGCATATAAGATCTTGGGAAAGAGCTGAAAACAATGTATTAATTATATAGAAAATAGAAATAATGCTTTCAGTCCCAAAGTTTTGGGGCTATGACTGGCATTCTGCTAAACGGATTTTTGTCTTTTACCATTCTTCTCACCATCTCTTGTTATTTCTTTGCAGAGCTACAAGCAACCATCAGCTTTTATAGTTACGCAGCATCCCTTACCAAATACTGTCAAAGATTTCTGGAGACTGGTCCTAGATTATCACTGCACTTCAATAGTTATGCTGAACGATGTTGATCCAGCACAAGTAAGTTCAGAAAACTGCTCCATTCAACAGGGGAGTGCTAGTGCCTCAGCATTTCAGCACATGTGTGCTTCAGAACAGCTTTAGGACATAATCAGTTTTATAAAACAACATTAAATACTAACACACTAAAAAATTGATTTGTACACCAGCAGCTTCTCCACCAAAATGTTAATGCACACACACATAAGTGCATGCACCCGTAATTTATTCTCATAAGAAAACATGCTTTGGGAAGAGCTGCTAAAAACCAAAAATGATGATTGTAGAATTCTGACTCAAGTCTGAAACACACTAATAATAGCCAAAAGTCATAAACAGAAGCCAACAGCCATTCATTAGCCTGCCTGAAACAGGGCAACGACCTTGGTCTGCTTACCAGGGGATAGGTGTTCCCAGTGTGAAAATCTGTGTTATGTTTGGCACAAAATGACATTGTTAGCAAGGAGGTAGGAACTAAACAAGATTGGAGACCAAGCATCCTTCGCAAGAGAAAACAGGGCAACAAAATGTATGGGGGAATGTAATTACCTTACAAAAGAGTTGTGCATGCTGAACATGTTCTTTAGAAAATTGGAAAATCATACCTACTGGTTTGGCAATTTAATCACTAGCATTAATCACTAAGTGTCCTAGAGCCTGGCTCGCAACTGTGCAATTCCAAGTTCTTACACAGATACAATTTCCTTGGTTCCAACAAACTGCACCAGCCATCTGCTGGAATAACGTGGTGGTAATCTGGATTCTTAATATGTAAATATTTGCTAATTCTTGGTTAAGAGCAATTGTTATTTTTTACAGCAGACTGCATGCCATTTTTATTCTTGATATGATCAAGAATCTTTTTAGTTTTGTTGAGTATTGTTCATACTTAGCAAAATGTTTCCTTCTATTTCTTTTTAACATGAAGAATTTGTTTGTAAAACATACTAATCTTCCGTTTTGTCTTTCAAAGGAATGTGTAGGAATTCCACACACTATTTTAAAGACTGAATTTCTGATTCCAAGCCCTTAACTGTCTACAGGGAGAAAAACAGAAATGAAAGACAAAACTTTTATTCATGAGTCTAAGATTATTTTCTGAGTGAATAAGGAAAGACTCAAGGGAGTCAGACTGTTAGGGACTGCTGAACAGAGTTATTTTAATTTGTGGGCTGTGTTTTGAATTTACAATAGGGCATGGCTATTTCAAGCATTTATTAGCCTCACAGGCTTTTAAAAGCTATTGGGATATGCAGTTAATGCACCTGCCTCTGCAGTATGTTAAACCTTTTCCCTCTAATGTGAGTAACAATCTTTTCATTAGGAATAAATCTCAAAACCCTCAGAGCAAACAGAAGTGGAGAGAGGGCAGAGCTTATTAAAAACACACATTACATTCAGATTTATTAATAATTACTGTTATTATTTATGTATATATGGAGTGTTTACAGTTCTGTTTAGATATTACACTTTATGTGGATTGTTATGCTCTATTGGGAAATGAAATTCAACCCTTCACAGTGACTCTGACTTAAAGAGAGTCACTAGCATCACATGCATGCAAAATGCGCAGACCTAAATGCTTCTGGTTTCTTTAGAACTTGAAAATCTTGGCTTCCTAAAACAGCTCCAGCAAACAGCTCTGCTTATTATCATTTAAGCATTTTTCAAAGATCTGTTAGAACAGTATTCCTATGTATTTGAAAGACGTGTACTAAATTGTGCACATTAGTGCTGAGCACTGGCATTTGCATTAGTCATATGCATGGTATTTTGCTATCCTGTACACTAGCATATTTCATAATAAAAATTTGTGTAAGATTTAGACAATATTTGGAAAGTAATTTGCTCAGCAGACCGAATCATGTGGGGGGTTTCAAATAAACGAAAATATATTTTCCTACTCAAAATGTCTGGGTTTAACTTGTTAAAGTGAACTCCTGCAAATCAGACCCTGCTCTCTTTTTAATTGATGTAGTAAATGATTATGTTTTCCTAAAATGTAGTCATCTCTAAACGGCTTTCTTGAGGAATAAGTGTTATAAGAAATGCAAAACAACATCTGGAGTAAATGTGATTTGTCAGCTCAGCTCTGGATCACCAACAGCAATGCAGCAGAATGAAGACCACAGCTGTTTTACTGAATGAAATAAAGTTCTAAATATGACATCAATGCTTCTGCAAGCAAACAAAATTTCATTAGTTCATACTTAATTTTGGTGAATGCTTGCAAAAGCTACATGCTTGAACTGCTGTAAATATCCCTGGAAAAAAATCATTATGGTTTTTATGGAAAAAAGGGACAAGCAGAGTCTAGCTTCAAAAACCTCCTTGCAAAGTGTTGATTTAATCTTTAAAGTATTAACACAGATGATAATTAGTTCCTGGGTTAAGCCACTGTGATATTATTAGACGCTAAAACTGTGCAAGATAATGGTAATGTTACTTTGTGATCTCTAGATACCTAGAAGTAAAGTTTTCTGAGCACTAAAGAAAGCATAATTACTATTTTCAGGTGGCATTCATAAGATGAAATTGAGCAGTTGTTGCAAATTTAAAGCAATGCTGATATTAGCCAGTATCATCAGTCACGGCTGAAACAGATGTGAAAGTCCTGAGTTTTGGGAGTTGATGCACCCTTCATAGTATGAAGCGCACATTCTGATGTAGCTTGAATTATTACCAACTTTTCGGGACAGTTGGAGATACCAGACCTTTGGTCTTTAGGCTTCACACTGTCTCCGAGATATGGTAATAGCTGACAGCATCCCCCTGTCTTGTCATACGGTATTGCAGAATTGACGTTGAGTGTCAGAAATGTGTTACTCCAAATACCAGAGAATGGTGAGTACAGCAGCAAGCAATAGCGTGTTTAGTTAAGTGAAAAGGCGCTTGTTTAAACTTGTTCCGCACAAGTAAAAGCAGAGTGCTCGAAACTGATGGAGGATGGTGCACTGTGTATTTTGTAAAGATACTGTGTGAGAATGCCAGTAATGAATGCAGCACAAAGAAAAATCTAGAAAAGTATATTGAGGCAGCATGAAATTCAAAGCGATTAACTGTGCTCTTTTGTGTTTGTCGTCTTCTATAGCTGTGTCCTCAGTACTGGCCAGAAAATGGAGTACACCGACACGGTCCTATTCAGGTGGAGTTTGTATCAGCTGATTTAGAAGAAGACATAATCAGCCGGATATTCCGAATTTATAATGCAGCCAGAGTAAGGATGTTATTTGCAAAACAGTTCTGTCTCAGTAGATGAGTTGACTCTATTCCAGTCACAAAAAAGGAAAGTTAAGCTCACATAAAGCCATTCTCATTTTTCAGCTTATTTTTTGAGAGCAACAGTGCAATACTGAGTCACACCACAATCAATGAGAAAAAAGCCTTCTATGTGTAATTAAAGTAAAAAATATTTTAATGCGTATCTCAAGTGTGTTAAATGCAAATGAAGTAAACGCAGTATTCAGATTGGTAGCCAAGAAATGCCAAAATCAGTGCTGTTTTCAACAGTTTGAAATTAGCCATCTTGCGTATTTGTATCCTGTGTCATGCAAAGAAAGCTGTGCACCAACACTAGGCATGTTTTTCAATACCAGTCCCAGGCTTTTAGTGAAGATCCTGTCCCACTAATCACACGTCATAATATATGTAAGCACTTCAGAAGGACAAGTACATTCTCATGTCCAGCTTTTATGCTCCCATAAAGTTGACAGGAGACTAAACGAGGCATGTCTTTCAAGCTGAGTGGAAAAAAGATTCCACCACAGACCAGGCATCTCTTCCCATCCAGATGAAGCGAGCTGTTGCAATGGACTGGTATCGATCACCAAAGAACCATAGCTAGGAATAAGCAGCATTCCCTGCTGAAAAAAGTTGGGAACTGCCCTGAGATCTGGTAGCTCTCAGGACAGTGAGAGAAAGGCCCCCAAAACACAAACAAAAACATGCTGATATCTGAGCAGGGAAGCAGACGGTAAGCTTCAAGATATTTCTTTAATGCTATGAAGGCCTTGCATTCGCAGTAAATGTGGCAACATAAAAACACAATCTCCAGCAGCGTTAATATGAGCTTTAGCAGGCACTGGGTCTGGCTGATGTGCTTTGGGAAGAAGGGCCATCAGCTGAAAGAAACGGGCCAGGAAATCAGTAGATTCCAAATTTTGACATAAAGCAGACAAAACCCATTGAAGAACATATCTAACACTGCATCCACTTTGGTTTATTCCCTTATCTTGTTAATCTTACATCCTCTCTATTACCTCTTACTCTAGAGAAAAAATTGTAATGTCAACATTTCTGTGTGTTGCTCATTTTAAAAGTGGCACTAAAATGTCCTCACTTTGCACAGAAGTGAAAGTGGCAAATCCTAGACTACAAAAACAGTTTTCATGTGTGTGTTTATTATGCCCTTTTCAAAGGACTGTAATTTTCTGCCACTAACACTTGTTCTATACTCCTTTTTTATTTTAAATCACCATAAAGCAACTGTTCAGTAACGTTTCACCAGAGGGGTTCTGACTGCTGCAGTAGCACACAATAAAATAAAATGTAGTTACATTTTTTTATAAGCTGGAAAAATCTGAGGTTTTCATTTGTTTTTTTAAATGTTTCCTGCTTCAAAATATCTTGAGAGGTTTTGACCTTTCTTGTAAAAAAAGACAGAAGCACACAAACGTTCTTCAAAATGCTGAAGCATATGAAAAAAAAAGGTATATAATTAAAGTTGTGTAGCAGCTCCCTCTTTGCTACCAAGTTCCTGCTATGATATTAATTAATTATTTGTTTGATCCTGCAGCTGTACCATTGCTCTATTCTAGTCTATTTGTATAGCATTCTGTTTAAAACCTCTTGTTCTAATAACTCTGTTGGAAATTAAAAGTCGTAACTCCTCACGGGCAGTTGAAATTACATTAGTAGTTTGTCAGCGGTGATCTGCCTGAACAACTGTCCTCATTGATGCAAATATCTAAAGTATGTACCAAAAAAAATGCTGTTACTTTTTCCTGCTTGTTGTCTGAATCTCTACAGCCCCAAGATGGCTATCGGATGGTGCAGCAGTTCCAGTTCCTGGGATGGCCCATGTACAGAGACACTCCCGTTTCTAGACGCTCCTTCTTGAAGCTCATCCGCCAAGTGGAGAAGTGGCAGGAAGAGTATAACGGGGGAGAGGGACGCACAGTTGTACATTGTTTGTAAGTACTGGAAACAGAAGATTTTTAAGGGAATACTGTTACAGGATTTGTGCCAGGTTTTAAAAGATTTGTGAAGAGGCATCTATCTAATCTGGAACTGGATAAATAATATAACTACTCATTTAAAAGCTTTGAATACAAGAAGAATTGTATAATTTTTTAATGAAGATTCATGAGTTTCCTTCTCTGTTCCTTGGTGAAAAGACCCCTGTGACAAGATGATGGGTACTTTATTTTATTTATATAAAGATGTCCAGTGACTTTTGCAAACGGAAAAGGTGCATATTTATTCAGAGTAAATCAAAATTGTACTTTCAGAACAACGTACTTTTGTTTCTACAGATAAGGACTGTAGAAATAAGTAGTATCGGAGGGGTGATTCCTTTTCCAGACATAAAGCACAGAAGTAAAAGCGGAGTGATAGACCAGTTACAATGATCCTCTTATTGCCTTACATTTCTCTAATAATGGTATATATTTTTGTCCTCCTGTGACCTTTGTGCTCCACTGGTGCAGGCTCTCATCCACTCTGCCACCATCCTCCTTTTGGTATGGCTTAATACTTGTACACACTGTTTGCGTGATCAGCAGTAGCTGATCTTTTGAAACCATGTCTTCAGTGCTTGAAGTTGTATCCCTCTTCCTTTAAACATCTGCTTAAAGATGCTGCCATGATGGAGAAGGGACATGCCAATGGGAAGCACATGCTAACGCACTTTCAGAAGTTGGGACCCAAGAGTAGACAATAACTTCCTGAAGTTTGGTTTGCAGTTACTGAGTGTTAGAACGATGGAGGAAAATCTAAGAGTGTCTTAATAATTCCCACTATCACTGACCTTGAACAAGTCATTGCTCTTCAGTTTCCCCATCTGTAGAATGGGGATAATAATACTTTCATCAAAGGAGCATTGTGCAGTGTGATTAATTAATGTTTTGAGATCTTTAGCTGAAAAGACCCTTTTGAAGTGCAAATTACTGTTATCTCTGAGGTGGCTGATGATATTAAATAGTTGTACAACATCACACATGCGTCACTTCCAGGCAGTAAAGAAAGAAAAAGCTCTAATGTAATCCTTTTAAATGACTTTATTTTAATTAAAATTCTCAAAGAGTCCCACAATATCAGGCAATGTTTTGGCAGCAGAGAGCATTCTTTTCATACTGCCTGGATGTGACAGATGTGCGACGTTGTAGCTTCCTTTGAAAATCAACCATTCGCGAAGCTGGTTTGAAAGACCCGCTACCTAACTAGTCTGCACTCTGGTAATTATTAAGGTTTATTATTTTCAGTGAAGCACAGCCTAAAGATTCTGATTAGAATAGCTGTAGAAATAATAGGGTTTCCAGAAAGAAGAGATTTTCTTAAAGATTAAAAATAACCGGGGATAAAGTATTATTAAATACTGTATTTGATCATGCATATGAACATTTGTGCCTGGCTTCTTTGTTAGCAAGTCACTTCGGGTTCTCATCCTCTGATACTGTGGGTGGAGGGGGAATACATACACTTTTAAAAGCAGTCATTGCCAGGCAGCCGGCCCCTCTGCCTGCTGCCCGGGAGTGAGCGCATCAGGCAGGGGAATATCACAGCAGCACCTTGTGCCATGCTAAAGGTGGCGCCACCAGAAGGGCTCCTACAAATGAGACTTCTGGTGCTTTTGCTGTTCCTCCAAAATGCCTTCGGGTCCAGGAGGAAAGCACCAGGATTTGGAATAAAAGAACTCAAAGATCCACTTTCTCTATAACATTTCCAGGCCGGATGCTCATTGCAATCTCGTGCGTTTACAGTGCAAAGAGGTGTTGAACTGAATCTGAAAGTACCTTGCCCTTATTTTAGGTGTGCTGTCTCAAGTGTTCACTCAATTCCCTCCAGACTTTCAGCCTGCTGAATTCTGAATCATAGCTTTGACATCTTTCAGCCCATGAATTCCAGTTAAAAATCATGTTCTGCCTTCAGGGGCAGGAGTATTCTGTGGTTTCTCCCTACTGGAACTCGTGCCTTCTGTAGCCATCCCTGGTGCTGTATGAACTTGTAACATAGAGTCAATCACAACTGAGCCGTTTTATCACTTTTATTGTAGGAATGGAGGTGGCCGCAGTGGGACATTTTGTGCAATCAGTATTGTTTGTGAAATGCTTCGACATCAGAGGGCTGTTGACGTATTCCATGCTGTGAAGACACTGAGGAATAATAAGCCTAACATGGTGGACCTTCTGGTACGAGCTTTTTAACTGCACCACTAAATAGAAAATGTTCTTTTTTCTCAGAAGACTCAGTAAGATTTCCAGGATTTGCAGTGGGAGTTGTTCACAAAGCAAGCAAGTCATTTTCAAAGAGGATAATGAAGTCACTTCACTTGTAAGAGTATTTTTACACTGCTTTCTTCCCAAGGAGACTGTGTCTCTGTTAATTTGAATTTTTTAAGAGTTTTAAACTTTCAGCCGAACATCCTTATTAATTTTCTTTTCTAGCAGGCTGAGCCAAGTGGATAGCAGCCCTTGCATGGTAGAAATAATAGTTATGTAAAATGAAATGCCAGATTTTCAAATTATATATTTTATAAATAGCTTAATCGCCTAATATTTATCAAAGCCATGAATTTCAGTTTGACATCCAGAATATTGCATTTAATTATGGTTGCTCTATCTCATAGAAAGATTAAAGAAGTTCAGAAACAAGGGGCCACGTACAATTATTTTCCTAGAGAGTGTTTTATGAGCTTTTTTTTTAAATGGAGAATTGCTGAAGTGCCAGCTGCTATGCCAGAAGAGCTGCAGAACAGCTTAAACCAGCAGGTTCTTACACTCCAGTGTGTAGTTCTGTACTTGGAGATGGGTGTAGCGTGACACCCTATTCTGAAGCCTGGGCTGTAAAAGACATGGTTTTACAACATCCTGCTCTAGAGGTGGCTGCTTAAGAGGCAGCTGTATTCAATTTAGCATCGTAGGCAGGGGGAAGCAGCATCTGGGCAGCTTCAGGGATGCTAAACCAATCTGAGCTAATTTTGCAAGCTCTGGTCAAACAAGTTTGGGTCATATTTCAACATTTTTTTTCTGCAGAGTGCCCAGGGTGAGGCAGGAAGCATCTCGCAGAGCTGGTCTGGCCTCTTGTAATTTTAGGAGAGATTCCCCTCTCTCAGATGAGCTACTGAGATCTGGGTGTGAAACACACCGGAGAATGAGCAGAAAGCAGGAATTTCTGTTGGGAAGAGCGAGGCTTTCAGGCTCATGTGTGAATGGGTAGGGTTATCTACTTCCTCACCACATGTATCACCGCGCCTCATCTGTCCCATAGAAGAATGGCTCCCACCACATCCTCCATCGCAGTGCTCTCATCTAGCCTACCTGTGAAGTCCCAGACCCTCCCCTAGGCCCTGCTCGGGCCAGGCTCATGGAAGAAAGCCAGATGTTGCCAGCTGCGCAAAGCAAGGAGGGAGTTTACAAGCAGCACCACAGGGCCATGAGCCAGCAATGTGGAACTGTGAATCTTGTATCAGTGAGAAACTATCAAGCTTTCGCAGTGGTGGGAGGGAACAGCTTAGTTGGCTCCTCTTCCTCTAGTTTATATTCTCAGGAGGGGAATCGTCATGCTGAGAACCATACATTTTTATTTCCTAGATATTAAGAAAAATGTCCTACTTCCTCATTCAGATAGTATAGTTTGGATAGAGACTTGGCAGGCCTGCTGTTCTCCATTCTCCCAGAGCTTAAGTCCACAGAACTCACTGATCTCTTATTTGCTTATTTTCTAGAAATAAAATTACCAGTGTGAAGATGTACAGTTGAAGAAAACGCTCTCTATAAATTCCCGGTTGTGACAGTTCTCCAGATATAGATTTGTCAGGCAGCTGTCTCCAGTTTTCAGCAGAGAATTTTTTTAATCAAAAGCTAAATGTAATATTGTAGAATATGAAAATAGCTTTTAGTGAATTGGGGACGGTATTGAGAATGTCTGGACGGCATTGAGAGGCCTTACAAGGCCTTTTCATTAGGAGATTTCAAAGCATTTGTGAAGGAGATCAGTATTGTTTTCCTTATTTTACAGACAGAGGAACGAAGGCAGGGGACGATCGGGATTTTTCCCATTATCACGTAATTCACTGACAAAGCAGAGTTAGAACCACATCTCTTCAGTCTTGGTCTGCTACTTTGTAGGAACAAATATTTGAATTAGCAAGGTTTCAATTTCCAGGTAGATTGTTTCATGGTAAAAGGGAATCGGGACACTTGAGTTCTTTTCCTGATCCTGTTACCGACTTAATCCTTTATGACCTTTCTTATATTAATGTGTCTTTGCCTCAGTTTCCATATCTGAAAAATGAGAACAATAATATTCATCTACCTTTGTAAAATTCTGTGGTAAAAGATGAAATGCTCAGAATTATAATGGTATTTCACAAAAATAGTTTCAAGAGTGCTTTATCAATACCTGTTATGCACTCTCTGACTAGATGAAGGGCAATCTTTACGGTCCATACTTAGAGATTCATCTCTTAATTTCATGGAAACCTTTGGTTTTCCTGCAAGTGTAAAAATCTGAATGCCACATCCGTACAATATGGAAATCTATTAAATTCTTCAGCCGTGATACAAAGGTAATACATGGTATTACAAAATGTCTATTACAGAATGCCCAAAGCATTTTGTGATAAATGTTATTGGACCTACCAATAGGTGTCCTAGAAAAAAAAAATATAAATATACCTCTCTGAAGCTAGCTAACGTAAAGAGACTTTTAATATCCACATCAAGTGAATAATAAAAATGTACAAAGGACACATGAGTGAACACAGTGGGAAATAATATATGTCTGCTTTTTAAGACAGGTATTTGGTTTACTAAAAATGACAGTTATTCTGCTGGATCAGTAAATCAGCATAAAATGAGCATGGAAAAATGGAAACGGATGAGTGGCTGATCTCTTGTTTTGATCTCTTCTGTAGTTATAGAATAATTTTCATTTATTTAGAAACATATATGCAATAAAAGCTGAAAAGGACTAATTTACATAATACTCTCTTCTTTTCTTTCCTTTCTTCTTTTTTATTCTTTTCTCATTCTGAAGAAGACACAAGCAGTTTATGGAACCCTGCAGGATCTTAAAACCTCACATCCAACTCATTCATAACTTAGGTGATATGTGCACCTAAGATTTGTTTTCTTTTGAAGTGACAGCTCTCAACAAAAGAACTTAGAAATTGTCCGTGCTTGTTAATGGCTTTTTGATTGTTGTAATATTATTTGGTCTCTTACATGTTAAGGTGGGCTCTCTTCTCAGCTAAAATGTGACCCCAAATCACAAGTACAGGCCGAAAGAGTTAATCCTTTAAAATGTTTGCTTCAATGAAAAGGAGAATATAGCTGAAGTGTAATTGTAATCTTCCTACTTGTGATGTTGGGAAGGTGAAGGCTGAGTGCTGTCGGCTGCTTAGGTCTGTTGTTGTTCCTGTATGATAGTACGTGCGTAGCTATCTTTTATTAATTGATTAAAGTGCGTAAGAGAAAGAGTCATAAAACCGGCAGGTGTTTCCAAACTGAATTTTTAGAAGCCAGAGCCCTTGGATTCAGGGAGCCCGTGCCTACTATTTCTTTCAGCTTTTTTGTGTCATTTAAATGTTTGTAGTATTGCTAAACACTGCGAGTAGCAAGAAAGAAAATGGAAGAGGGATATGTGTGCGCGCACAAAACTGTGAAGTCATCAGGGACTCCATCATTTAAAGTTGCAGAGTGGGCGAGGGTCAGTCAAAAGCATTGGCCTCTCTGTATCACTGAAGATGTGAAGGGGGCGAAGTCACGACCTTTCGCCTCTGAAGGATGCAGACTGGGTTTGCATGCCACGGAAAGGGGGTTTCCCTGGGATCGGCCCTGTTTCCAAGCAGTTGCAAATAGAACTGGCAGGTCTGTGTTTGAAGCACAGGGTTGGCACCTGAAAACTTAGCCTGGGTAACAGAAGAGCTGTTAAGAGCCTAACTTACGCATCACCATTAATTGCTAAAAATTAATTGGAATTAACCCAATTAATTTAGCTCAGGCCTGATCTCACAGGCCTGTTGCACTGGGAGAGGACAGTATTTCGGCGTGGGTTTGGGCTGCATGTAGAGGAGGAACAGTAAGCAGCTCTTGCCCTGAAATGTAGCGAGTGTATGAGTGACATTTAAATAAAAGTTGCAATCTGGGAAGTACTAGACACTGGGTCTATTTATAGATAAACATTTCCAGGGAGGAATTTCAATAACTCCAATTCTGGTAAAGTGCTACATGAGCATTTTGACAGATGACAGAAGGGTTGCAAGTCAATTTGCTTACGTGCAGTCAATTTTTCTCATAGAAGTGTATTAGAGCAGCTAAATACACATCTAATATGAGCAGGACCATAAGTTACTGTGTGTAGTGTCTATTGTCTGGTTAATATAAAGATTTTCTTATCTGAATATAAACTGGATTTGCAAACTGGTTCCTATTGACAACAGCTGATAGTAAATAATTTTAACAGAAGAGAAATATTGATCCCCTTAATTAAGTTCCTTCAATAACTGACTTTGTGGTTTTCTTTTGATTTTTCAGGATCAATACAAATTCTGCTATGAAGTGGCTTTGGAATACTTGAATTCTGGCTGATTGCATAAACAGCACAGACAAAGTTCCTCCTTTTACCACCACAAACAAAGCAAGTCGCTTCATGATATCTGTGTAAACGAGATGAAGACTTCTCAGTGTTATGCTTATACTGCTTTGTATAATTGGCTCTTTTTAAGAGCCCAAAAAGATGTTTCTAAAACTGCTTGCACTGCCCGTTTTCCACTATAATGCCGCTGCTTGACACCCATATGAACATACACCAAACCACATGGCAGTTGTTGAACACTGTATTCATACATAGCCATTGATGTGGTGAAGCAGCATAGTACTCTGGTAAATAAGAGAGCACAATTATATTCTTATGAAGGAATTTGTACTTTTCTGTTATATTTCGTTGCCTGTGATTCTCAGTTACTGTCACAGCCTAGTGTACATTTCTGTTCTGTGGAGAATGCTGTCTGGCATTTTGATAATATATGATTTTAGTTATATTTGTATTCTAACACGTGCATAATAAATGAATCATATGTAGCCTATCTGAACTAATGGAAAGACATGTACCAAATCATGTTAACTTTGTTGAGTTGTAATTTCTATCCGCTTTGTACCATTTCAGAGAGAGAATCTTGATAGAAATACAGTTAGAAAATGCAAAATACAGGATGCTCAGATTAATATATCCAAAGCTTTTTCATTTGTTTATATTGTAAATATTTTTTTGATTTCATCAAATTATTTATTCATTAAAATGAATTTTTTTGTGAAGCACAGTGAGTGACAATCATTTTTATTAAGCCCTGGAAATGCTTACTGTATGATAGTGTAAACATTTGTTTACCTTGTATGGATTCTCAGCTCAATAAATAATTACATACACAACAAAATCTCGTTTAATTTAATATCTCTTGGCATCTGAGTGCCTTCAGCTAAGCCTCTTTTCAGATTAATTCTTATAAATACTGAGCTACCTCCAGAGCGTGTTTATTATGTGATCAGTGCCGATCCAGCCAATAGCAAGATGTGCAGTGCCAATATATAAAGAGAGGTGAACTGTTTGTTTAAAGATGCACATGCTCAAATGCGGAACCTGAAAATTGCCCTGCTGTGTGAAGAAGAGATGATGTTGGGCCTGCAGCGCTCAGTCTCATCACAGCATTCCTCTGCAGCCCTGAGCACGCCCCGCCATTCGCTCTGTGTCTGCTGCTAGGAAAGGGGTGATGGTGCATTTGTTCTTGGAAGGAATGACTGCTGTGAGGGGCAAGTAATTCCTCGTGTTAAAGATACCAATACTAGAGTGACTGGGGGGGGGGTAAAAAGTGAGTAAAACTGCTCTGTTGCTAGGGCTGTTACCAGTACTGCCAGTGGACAGGTTTATACCATTAAAGCTCTTACCTGTCCCGAGAACGGCTGTACTGCACTTCCATGGCGTTTGGATGGTTCCCCTTTCTCCCAAGCACTCACCGGTGTCTGAACAGGCTGGGACTTGCCTCGTGTTCGTGGATGCAGGAAGCGCAGCAACGAAGCAGCAAGAAAGGGCAATGAGCCAGCAGTGGCTTGCTGCACCATCCGCTGGAGCTGCAGATCTTTCTCTCACCCAGAAGTGTCGAGGAGACATCGCAGACAGAGCAACTGCTCAATACTGAAGCCTTCCAAAGCTATATGGGAAACCCAGTGCAAGGAAGCGGCAGACTCCGCAGTATTTCAGCTCTTAAAAAGATCCTTTTAATGTGCTAGCCATCTGGAATGGGGGCAGTATCTATATAAATGTATCAGTCAAAATGTTTTGAGAACCTCTAAATCTAAGACATCCAGCTTGGACAGAATGACTCACAGCTTGTCAACCGCCAGTTCAAAACCACTGCAAAATTCAGATCTGAAGACACAGATAGGCTGCCTCTGCAGCTGGAAAGCATCTCTTTTAAAATTGCTTTAAATGGAGCCAGCAGGTACCGGCCATTGCTATAAATTGCACACAGGTCCTGAAGAACTTGGGAAAAACAACCCCGGCCCTGAGAAGAATGATGGTCCTTGGATAAACCCTGTAGCACTTCAGCCTGTTGCAGAATATGCTCTGAGTCGTTTGGAAACCCTAGTGTTAGGAAACAAAATCCAAACTTCTAACATCATATTCCTCACAACCAGCTTGACAGACCAGGTATGCCAGCCAAGCGTGCTTCTTTGTAATAATTGTGGGACACTAAAAAGTTGGGTTCCATGATCTATTTATTGAAATATGCATGTATGTTGTCCAGTGTTTCCTGATGCTTTCGAGAAGTATAAGTAAGATGGATAAGCGTGCTGAAGGAACCCTAGGACAGAAGGTGACACAGGCAATGTGATCCTAAGTGTGAATGAGATTTATTGAACAGCAGCAAGAATCGTGGCAATCTCTCCCAAGGACAGAGACTGCCAGTGTCTGCCAGACATTATTTCAGCTGCTGTACTCCTGCAGACATACTTTGCACAAGTAGGTCTTGGGGGATGAGGGGGGAAAGCAGATGAGGAGGAGAGAGTTCTACAGTGTTTCTTACTGTTTTACTGATATTACTTTTTTTTTGTTGTTGTTGTTCTTCTGATACAGGCATAGTCAAACCCATGTTACAGAGTCTGTGTGATGTTGTCCCAAAAGGCATTCTCTGAACTACAATGCCTTAAAACTGGAGCCAGCTAAGGAAAGCACAGCAAGCAGCTTTGCGTCCTCACTCTCATGCTACAGTTATAAACCAAAACAAATGATAGGTAAATCGAGGCTTAGGTTAAACAGTATTTTGGCAAGAAGGAAAAACAGATGAGGACTTCAGGAGTTAAGAATAGAGAAAACGTAAGGAATCAGAAAGGAGCAGAAAGAAGAGACAAATGTAGGGGGCAGGTATGCAAGAAGCAGCATGGACCTTATGAAAGTTACCTAAAGGGTGGCGTTTTAGAGGAGACAACAGAAAGAAAACAGCAGCGACAGCCATTTTAAGTGTTCGTAAACCAGCTTGCCTTTTCAGAAGAAAGTTACACAATTACAAGCCCAGTACAGCTGCAGAACTTACAGAGACATCAGTCCTAGTTTGGGAGGAACGGAAGAAGGGCTGTTTTCTTCAATCCCCAGTATATAAAAGGTACATAGATGAATGAAGAGATACTTTAAATGGTTAGCCATATGTATCACCCAACTCATCATCTCTCCGGGACTTGAGGCAGATGATTTTTGCTAAGCTATTCTGAAAGAGCAGCAATGGGGATGGTGCGCGAGGTGATTGCATGCAGGTAATCTGTATCTTTTTAACAGCAATGCTCCTGACAGCTTCCTGGGCTTCTTTATCAGCAAAATGAGTCTGTCACTGGCAGGGCAGCTTCACAGAGTACTAACCCAAAGCTTAAGGACTATATATAGTAAGATTAAAAAAATAAAGCGTAGAAAAAACTTCCTACCCAGCTGTACGCAGTGTGGCTCAAAAGGGTCTCTGTGCCAGAAAGAGATGGTCTTGTCTTGATCTGAAGGCACTGTGCAGCATCAAGACCACCTTCATTTGGATTTCTTCTTCAGCTGCTTAGGGCTTACCTCTAATACCTCTGAAATGTTCGCTTTTCGTTTCACTGTATGTGGGCGTTCCCCCAGGTCTAACTGCTTACTACTTATGCCCCTTTTCAGTCAACACTGGCCCTTTAATAACATGTAGCAAAGACACAAATAGATTTTTTTTTGTTTGAGGTGTGGCAATGAAGATAGATAAATTGACGCTTCCAGCAGCAGCTATTCCAGGCAGCTTCCTCCAGGGAGGCCTGGAGAGGCTGTAACGGTAGTAGCAAACCTAAAGCCCCTTGGCATTACTCACTCCAAAACATTCACAGCAGGATCAGCCACTGAGTCTCCTTTCCCTTGTGGTTGTTTTGTGTCTCCCACCGCAAATCAAGGATGACTAAAGGAAAATGAGTGATTTGAAAGTTTACTTGAGGTTTTACAGCCTCATTAGTTTTCTGATTCAAAGGTAATTTGGTTGCTCTGCCTCCCAGAGGAACTTCTCCAAGCAGTTGTGCATATGCCTTCAGAAACAGCGAGGTATGCAGGCAGATCACTCTAACAGAATGATTCGTCATATCATTTTACGTTTATTGTTGGTTTTACACTTATTTTATCAACTTGGAGCCTTGGACTACAAAATCTCATGCAGCCCATATCTGATGCCAGATGCTCGGCTTTATTAAAAGAAAAATTAAATCAGGAATAGAAGAAAAATTTACAGTGTAGTTCTGTTGTTTGATGTTTGTTAAGGAAGCCAATGACCACTGTCATTTTTGGGGCAGAGTACCAGTAAAACCCAACAGACCATGTGAAAAATAACGCTGTTTCTGTTGGAGCTCATTTGTTTGTTTGTTTTTCATAGCCTAGACCTTGTCTATATGGTGAAATTATAAGCTGGTGGGTGCATTTGCATTGCCTCAGCCATTCACATGCTCTGCCTGTGGGAGCTTTCCGTATGCCGCTGGCAGGAGGTGGCTTGCTCGGCGCAGCCCTGCTCAGTTGCCACCACTCACCTTCAGCATCCTAGCCCACGTTAATGAAGGAATCTGTCCAAAGCCTTGTCAACCCTTCGCAAACTGCAATAAACAGCAACAGCAAAATGCCTTCCTCACCCCTGCTGGGTATTTCCAAACAGACTTTTCTGTGGAAGGCTGAAAAGGCAGCTCCCGCGCTGGTTATTTCCCCAGACTCGCCTGACCTCCTGCTCTAAGCCTGAAAGCCAGCCCCTGACACCCCCACCTCCTCTAGTCTGTCTCTCCAGCTCCTCACCCACTCTCAGGGCGAGGCTGTCGCACCTCCCTGACCCAGCCTGGCCAGGCAGAGCAGGAGAGCTGTGGTGCTACACTGCTTTCAAGTCTGTATCTTCCATCGGAGTCTCCAAGGGAACTCCTGGAAGATGCATTGCCCTCTGGTGCCACGGCCCTGCCGCTCACCCCAAGATCGTGTATAACCTGCCCCATGAGCCTCCATCCCGCTTCCCTCCCAGTCCTGTCACCGCAGCACGTGATGCTTTTTCTGGGTAATATGACTTGAGGTAAGTGGAAAGATGTGAGGCTGGAAGAGGTTGGGGTCTATAAACACCCTGCCACGATTTTGTTTAATATTGTTGATAGTACTCGGTGCACAAAAGCACAGCAAAGATGGGCTTATGACAATGAAGAGTGGGAGTGATGCTTGCTGTAGTTTGTCTAAGGGAATGTGTCAGGGGAGATTAATATCTCATGTTCACTGACAGTCTTTCCAAGCAATGGTATTTTTACTCCTGAAACTCTTCTATTGATGTGTTTTCAGTAGCAGCTAGAAGACTTTTAATTGTATCTCTGCAGTCATGATATTTCTAGTAATTGGTTTTTTTGTGAAGATGTGCTCAGGGGCCACAATTAAAGCATAAGTCTCATTCATGCTAGACATACATTAGTACTGCTGCCAGGCCTGAGTAAATGCAATCAAAACTCCTAGTCCTACTAACATTTACATTAATATCCTCTTGTCTGGTCCCACTTGCACAAAAAAATCAATCTGATACTCACACACATTTTGCATCTGAGCTCATCAGTCCTTGTACATGTCATGTCATGATGCTGTACTGGGTCTGGCTGGGATGAAGTTAATTTTCTTCGTAGCAGCCCGTATGGTGCTGTGTTTTGGATTTGTGACCAAAACAGTGTTGATAGCACACCAACATTTTAGCTGTTGCCGATCAGTGTTTGCACAGCATCAAGGCCTTCTCTGTTTCTCATTCTGCCCCTGCAGCACGTAGGCTGGGGGTGGGAAAGAAGTTGGGAGGGGACACAGCTGGGACAGCTGACCCCAACTGGCCAAAGAAGGGATATTGGGATATTCCATACCATATAACATCATG